GGACCCCTTTGCGGGTCCGGGTCCGGTAGGGGGGGGACCCGGGGGGTTGGGAACCTTTGCCGGACAAAAAAAAAAAAAAAAAAAAAAAAAAAAAAAGAAGACAAAAAGTATTTTCTCACCAGCACTAAAAAGTTTAAGGGCTGGCCAGTTGCTCAGTTGGTTAGAGCATGGTGCCAAATAACAGCAAGGTCCAGGGTTCAATCCCTGTACAAGCCAGCTGCCAAAAAAAAAGTTACAGTTAAAGTATTTGGCCGTGAATGAAGACTGAGATTGATTCTCTAGGAGAGCTTTAGAATGAGATCATTTATGGCCGGCCCGGTGGCACACTGGAGAGTGCGCCGCTTGGGAGCGTGGCAGCGCTCCCGCCGAGGGTTCGGATCCCATGTGGAGACCGGTTCCCGCTCACTGGCTGAGCGCGGTGCGGGCGCAACGCCGAGGGTTGCAATCCCGTTACCGGTCAGTTAAAAAAAAAAAAAGGAGAAAAAAAAAAGAATGAGATCATTTAGAGGAATGCAGGTGTATCCTAATAGCATCTTTGTTCTTAGCTGGACTGAACCCAAACATGAATGTCAACAGCATGGACATGACTGGAGGTTTGTCGGTGAAGGACCCGTCTCAGTCTCAGTCACGCCTCCCTCAGTGGACACACCCCAACTCCATGGAGAACTTGTCCAGTGCTGCTTCTCCTCTGGATCAGAACCCTAGCAAGCATGGTATGTATTGGCCAGAATGCCCACAGTGGGGTTACTATTGGTTTATTAATTGACTATCTCATTTAATAGCATATTCTTTCTATATATTTATAAGAATTCATGCTGGAAGGTAAATAGAAAAGTATGCCATTCCATGACAAAGTGTATAAGATCTCAACTAGTCAGTGACTGAACTTCTTGAACCTTGGCCATCAGAGCTTAGCTACAAATCTGTAAATAATTGAAAATACCCCAGAACAGCAAAGAATATAAGTCAAAGCCTGTGTACTTTTTATTTATTTATGTCTGTATCTGTCAACAAAACAATTGAGGCTATTGAAAAGAAATTATTTTCTGTTAAAGGGTAAAACACAAATAGAAAACCAAATTCTTAGAAAGGAGGAAGAAGCAGAACTACTAACCATGGGAGGTAGTGTCACTACCATGGGTTAAATTTAGTTCTGAACTTCCTGGTAGCATAAATAGCAAAGGAAATTGAGTAGATTATATAATTTTCTCATGTCTGCCTAGATCAAAAAAAAAAAAGAAAGAAAAACAATAAAAATGAAGAGAAAATTCTTCCTAGGGGTTAATGCTACAAGATTATTACATGATGCCTGGGCACTTCCCTTGGCAGGAGAGAGCTCAGTCCTCTGTGGCTGGCGGTTTTGGTCTGTATAAATTTAGTCCTAGTTTGTTCTTCCATAGTAAGGTGTTTTAGTCCATTTTGTGTTGCTATAACAGAATACCTGAGACTGGGTAACTTATAAGGAAAAGACGTTTATTTGGCTTACGATTCTGGGACATCTGCATCTGGCATGGGCCTCAGGCTGCTTCTACTCGTGGCAGAAAAGCAGCAGGCAGCTAGCGGGTACAAGCAGATCACATGGCAAGAGAGAGAGAGAGGAGGTGCCAGGGTCCTATATACAATAAGCTCTCGTGGGAACTAATAGAGCCAGAACTCACTCACTACCCCTCCTCCCCCAGGAAGAGCATTAATCCATCCATGAGGGATCCACCCCCCTGACTCAGTCAGTTTCCAACACTGCCACATTGGGGATCACATTTCCACATGAGTTTTGGAGGGGACAACACATCCAAACTCCATCATTTTGCTTCCGGCCCCCCAAAATTCATATTCCTCTCACATACAAAATATAATCATTCCATCCCAACAGTCCCAAAAGTCTTAGCTTGTT